TTTAAATGATATTCTTAATAGCCATTTTCCCAGCAGTATTTAATGATTTCTGTTGTTTTCTTCATCATATTGAAAGGTCTTTTTTTGTTCTGAAATGTCTTTTATATATATATATATATATATATATATATATATATATATATGTGTGTGTGTGTGTGTGTGTGTGTGTGTGTGTGTGTGTGTATGCACATTTTTATATGCCTGCTACCTATTTAACTTCTTATTTAAATACAAAGCACAGCCAGGCACAGTGATACATGCCTGTAATCCCAGTGGCTTGGGAGGCCGAGGCAGGAGGATAGCAAGTTCAATGCCAGACTCAGCAATTTAGCAAGGCCCTAAGCAATTTAGGGAGACCCTGTCTCAAAATAAAAAGGGCTGGGTGGGGCTGGGACTGTGGCTCAGTGGCAGAGTACCTGCCTAGCATGTGTCAGGCACTGGGTTTGATTCTCAGCATCATATAAAAATGAACAAATAAAATAAAGGCATGCTGTCTATCTACACCTACCAAAGATATTAAAATAAAAAGGGTTGGTGATGTGGCTCAGTGATTTAGCACCCCTGTGTTCAATCCCTGGTACCCAAAAAATAAATAAATACACAAGCATGCTCATATATTGCCATGCTTAAAGCTTTCAGTAATTAATTCCCCATTGCATAGAGCAATTGTTACCCACCTGGCAGATCATGAGAATAACACCTGGGAATTTTTTTTTTTTTTTTATTAAATCCTAGACCCTTCCTAGATGGTTTCGAAGAATAGCTTAGTTTTAGAAATGCTAACCTATAGGATCAGTGCTAGGCCCTTCATGGCTTCAAGGTTCTTCATTTTTTCTGCTCTTGCTCTTTCACCAGACCTCATCCACCTCCTTTATCTCTGCTTCCCTTGCTCTCTAGTCTCCAGCCACAGTGAACCTAGAAGCCATCTCCGTATTCTCGCTGTACCCTCCACCTGGCACATCTCCCCATCTACTCACAAACCAAAGTACCATCTCCTTTGTGAACTAAGGCATCTCAGAACACCCAAGTGACTCCCCACTTCCTTTGAGGTTCTATAGCTTTTAGCATACGTATCATGTGGATTTATTTATTCATTAATTTACAGTTGTCTCTCAACTATCTCCTYATTCACCAGAGCCTATGAACTGCGCTGTGTCCCTATGCCTGGCAAAGCACCTGTTATGGAGAATGTCACACAGAAAGCACTTCACAAATGTCAGCTGTCATAAAGTGCCAGGGACTGAAGAAAGTGCTGTCATGTTGACAACGAATCTGAGTGATTCTGCCCCAGTTTGTGTTTAGACTCCTACCTCGAGGATCAGTTCTAGCTGACCTGGGACTGTGTATTGACCTGCCAGACTCCATTTTATAGCCGGCCCCAGGATGGCCGTGCAATGGCACCCTGATCCCCATAGTAGTCCACAAGAGTGAAAGGCCACTGAGATCTGGCAGGGTTGATAGCACCGGTTATCAGTGACCAGTTCTGCTCCCTCACCTGTTGAAGCTTGAACATTAGAGAAGCACTCCAAAGCAAGCATATAAAGCAGGATTTATTTTAAAAAGGGTGACATTGACTTCTCCTGGGAGGGAGAAGGGGGCTATAGCTTGTATCCTGGTATCCCAAGAAGTGAGGTGTTCTGCCTTTTAATACCTTAGGCTTCCTTTGTTCTCCTGCCCTCTTCCCCTTATCTTTCTCCTTCCTGCATGTGTGACTAGGCCTAGGAAATGCTCAGTGGGATGGCCAAAAGGTGGGAACCAGGTGGACTGAAGGGGAAAGGGCAGGATGGAGCAGGCCAGGACACATTAGTTAACAACTTGATAGCTCTCTGGGGGGGGGGGGGGACAATTCCTGGGACAGGTTACCTTGCAACAGGTTGGAGCAGGTTATCTTGATAGGGTAGAGGAAGGAAGGGCTCTGAAGGCATTTCAAGCCCTCAGGGGGCAGTTTCCAACTTCTGGGACTCCCCCAAATTGGCCTCCTCTGACCTGATTTGATTTACCTATACTGACTGCCTATCTAATTCTGGCTTCAGTGTCACTGAAAATTGAACCCGGGGTGATCTACATTTCTTTCCAAGTCCTTGCTATCTGATCTTTAGAGGAGGACTCATTATGGTTTTTGTTCATGAAGACTAATTCTTAAATATAGAAAGATAAATATTACTTTGCCAGTAGTTTTGTGAATCTGAATTTAATTTGACCTCTTTCACAGCCTCATATAAACCAGATGTTCTCCCATTCTTTTAAATCCCTCATACCCCATGAACATGACTAGGGATCAAAATTGTTCTAACTGTAATAAACCGACCTCAATTGAAGGCTCCCTTTTGGCCTTCCTTTGAGATTAAAACTGATGCCCGGGAACAGATGTACCATTTAAAATCAGAGGTTGAACCTAAAAGAAGGGGCAGAAAGAAAACTCTGAAAAAAGTCAGGGTGAGAAAAGCAAAGTTAGCCAGAGGACAATTAAGCAAAAAAAGGACAAGATGAAGGAAGAAAAAAAAAAAAAAAAAAAAACCACGCTCAAACAATAGGGTTTTATTGCACTGTTAGGAAACCACCATTTCAAAGGTGAAAGTGTCATTTTACAGTCTCACGCTCTGCCTGGCAGGAAGTCTGTTCTCTGTAAATCCTAATTTGGGCGTGTTCCTGTAGAAATGTTGAACCTCCTCCTAAGGGAAACAGAAACTTAATCAGGAAGCTAGATACTGAAAAACAGTTGTAGCTCAGCGTGCCTGCCAGTGTCTGGTGTGGAAGCAGAGAGCAAAAACCTGTTCCTCGTTAGACGGGCTACACTTCTCTCAACGGTCACAATGAGAGACCCACGATTGCCCTTGGACATTCAGATTTTCTATTGTGCCAAACCTGACCAGGAGCCTTTTGTGAAGGTAGGTTGGAGTGTGTCCTTGAGGGATAATAAGGTGCTGAATTCTCACTGATCTGCCACTCCAGTATGTTTTCACATTCGTTCTAAGAAGAGAGGATTATGCTAGCATTTCAACCAGAGCTGGTCAATTTTTTTGTTGTGAATATGGATATACTGTGGTTGCCTCTTTCACTGTGAATCAGAAATCCATATTTGAGGGTTTTTTTTTTCATTCTACAGCCTTATTTTTTAGCTATGATAAGTATAAGTTTCACCAAAAACATGCTGCTTTATTTAATACATTTAAAATGCTGGTTGTGCTTCTTTGGAAGTGTTCTCTCTACCTAAATTCTCTTCCAGAAGATGGTAAAATTTATTAGCTAATTTCCCTACCAGAAATCTGGCCCAGATGGCCGTGGTTACTTTGTATATGTCACTGTGTGGTTTGGAAATTGAGTATTGAGTAATGCATTATCTAACAACTTTCACTAGATGACATTTAAATGCTTTTTCTCTATAATACAAAAGTCATTAATACTTGTAATTAGGCATTTGGATGAATTAGCTGTCTGATATAATTTAATTTTAAAAGAATTTAGTGTTTTATCCAGAATTTAAAAGGGACAAAAAAATCTATTTTAAAGCAAGAAGGACTACAGTAGTTTATAAAGATGACTATAATTATACAATAAGTGTTGTATACAATATAATGTTTTTCAGTTTAGAAGGGAAAAAATACTTTGGCCATTTCTGAACTATATGTAATATTTGTAACCTGGTTGTAATTTAGAGCAAAGCTTCATGCTTCTCCTGTTGCTGTTCCTGGTAGCTGTTATTTCTATCTGGCTTAGTTGCTATGTGCACAACCTTGAGAGAAAACACCAAGAACCTTGATTAAAAACTGTCCTTATTGTTCCAAACTCCCTATTTATAGAAGACTTACTCACTGAGTGATCTCTGATTATTTCCTTGACAATTTAAATTTAGATGCAGGCTAAAGAAGAATAATTTCGACCATTTTCAAGGGTATAAATTGCTCATGGAGTTATAAACAGCTCTCACGCAAGGAATGAGCAATCAGCAGCAATAGCAAAACTGGAAAATGGGTGATTTTAATTCATACATATGAAGTGCCTCAGCTGAACTAAGTTGTGCATTTGATCTGGAATCAAAAAATTAACCATTTCCCCAAATGCCTGTTTAACTTATGTCCTGCCACCAAAACTCTCCCTTTTCAGTCAGTCAGGTATCCAAGATAGCTTTGTTCTCAGTTGAGGAAAAGTCATCTTTGTCTTGGGTTGTTTTTTCTTTGCCTCAGATCATTACCGTTGAGGAGGCGAAGCGCAGGAAGAGCACGTGCAGCTACTATGAGGACGAAGAGGAGGAGGGGCTCCCAATCCTGCAGCCCCAAAGTGCGCTGCTGGAGAACATGCACATAGAGCAGGTGGGTCCTCCCTGGGGACTTGGGATGAGGGTCTGCTAGGCCTTCAGAGATACTCCCCAACTCTAACTGCATTGGCTCTTTTCACTCCGGCTGAGGGATGAGCCAGGGCTGAAGGGAGGAACGTGAAGTCCTAACCAAGGCCAGCCTGAGCTTCTCTGCTTCTGAAAAATTGTAACAGTCTTTTCCACTGCCTTTCTGGGAGTATAAGCAACTGATCAGACATGAATACCCTTCTCTCATATCTAAAGGAAAAGTTACTTCTTATCTTATAAAGAAATATAAGTGTCCTACCAAGGTCCTAATGCATTTTAAAAGGATCCAAATTTATCCCCAGTGATTATTGCAGAGTTCTAATGGCTATTATTTATAGGGCTCAATAAAATTAATATAGCAAGTATACTTTCTTGCTTTTATGAAAACACCTGACTCTAGAAAGAATTTTTCTTTTTCTGTCATTTTCTTTGCGATTTTGTTTTCTGAAAAATCTGGTAATTGTATTTTATGAGATGTTATTATGTGTTTATATCTGAACTTTGGTAGGAAATCACTTGTACTTCTTTTGTCAGTTAGCTTAGAAATCTGAATTTCACAGAACTTAAAGATTGTCATCAAGTTTAATTCCTCAGTTTACATATGAGCCAGTGAAGGCCCAGGAAAATCAAGACAATTTACCAAGGAGCTAAATATAAGTAGGGTTCATGCTGACAGTGTCTGGAACTGATTCGAAACATTCTGAAGACAGCATGTCATCACTTCCTTTCATGATATTTTCGAAGACATATACATCATTGGTATTTATGGCAGCTAAGTTTAAGCTAAATATTGATGTGGGTGAAAGGTGCAGGTACAAGGTGGACAGATAACCTCTGACATCTAACATAAGGCACCTGTGTTTTGTTGCTATCAGATCTGTGGGAAGCCATAATTGTCGAGAGCTGTTCTGAATCTGTGAAAGTTTAGAAAGAACCATTGGAAAAGTATGAACTATTTGTTAAAAGTCAGATTGTGATATTAAAAAAAAAAAAAGAGTATGTGTCTAGTTCATACTTCCTTACCTGCCTTGATCAGTGTCTTCGAAAGTTTGTCACATATCACATGACAAAGTTTCAGTCAATGACGAATTGCAGGTGTGACATGGTACCCTAAGATTATATCACCTAGTGAATGGCAGGCATCTTAGTTTGTGTAAGTACACTTGATGATACTCACATCACCACAAAATTGCCTAACAACACATTTCTCAGAACATATACCTATTATTAAACAGCATACCTCAGTAGCATAGGAACCCACAGTCAGGCCCCGAGAGGAGAAGCATCCTCTGAACAGCCTCCCTGCCAAAGTAAATGCTTTAAAGCAATGATTTTTTTTTTCCATTCTCTCTCTTGGTTTATGGTGGCAAATATTTACCACCACAGACCAAGCAATGCATAAGTAAATATAAAACTTTGAGTTTGAACCACAGGCATATATTTTATGTCTCAGGTTTGCAAGTCATTTGCTGATTTGTGGTTSAATTGTGTGTTTGCATCTTCTTGTACTGGCAGCTGGCCCGACGCCTTCCAGCAAGGGTGCAAGGGTATCCATGGAGACTGGCCTACAGTACCATAGAGCATGGAACCAGCTTGAAAACTCTCTATCGGAAATCAGCATCACTAGATAGTCCAGTCTTATTGGTCATCAAAGATATGGATAATCAGGTGAGTCCTGCTTCTCTCAGAGAGAACACTTTTTAGTGTCAATTTTCAAATCTACCCAACAGAAGAGAGATGAGTACAAYGAGTTCTCCTCACCCACATTTCACAGTTAGCCTGACTTTGCCATGTGTGCTGCTTCTCTTTCTTTTATCTTTGTTTTTTCTTTCCCGAGGTATTTTGAAGTAAATTCCAATCATGATGTCATTGCACCCCTATGTACTTCAGAATCATTTCTAAAAAGAAWATGGAACATAATCTCTAAGTATAGTCACATTCTAAGGAATTTTTTTTTCCTATGCTGACCATGGAGTAGGAAAATATAATGGTATTCAATAACCTAAAGCTGAAAAGTTGARAAAAGTCAGGTCTGGATTTGGGGACAATTTCAGAAATAAGTTCCAGTGCCACACCAGAGTTTTTTCCAAGTAACTGAAGTAGCACCCACAAAACTTGCCTGCTGTGGCTGTGAAGGGAGCTTGGCAAAGCCTCAGTGTGTCATGCCCAGGGGCCCAACTGTTAAAGAAGCATCAGGGAATCCTCTGTGCCATTCCTAATTGCATGGTCACCAGTTACAGCTGACCTTTCTAGAAGGCACTCGTTAAATCTAAGTATTACCACCCCCATCCACTCTTCAGTGTGCTCTTCCCTCAAATCAACTTGGAGTATGTGGCTTCCTTCATTTACTACCCGGTCAGTCTATTATGTCTCAAAAGAAAGACAAGTCGAGCCTGATCTTCATTTATTTCAGTTTGATCTGTGTGGTATTCAGGTGTTTTGCCACTTGKGACACAGCCTACTTCCTGCCCCCATAATCCCCAGTGCAGATTGTTGGAAGCTTACTCTAGGCACACATGGCCAAAAAAGACAGGACGCCCTCTTCTCCCAGCCGTGGTGTATCCCCTCTAAGTGTAGGTTCCCAGCACTTCTTATTCCCTATCTGAGATCTGTGTATCGGAGACTTAAATCCAGGCAAGTGTGGCCTAAAGGCAGGGAGAAGGCTCTCTTCCTCCATCCAGCCGYTGCTCACAGGGCTGTTCGATGGCATGGCAGGCTGAATTTAGAGATTTCCGGTCCTGTTGTTTCAGCTCATGGGGCAGAAGTTGCACCATAGGCGAGGCAAGCCAAGACCACAGCCTACTGCCTCTGCCCAGCACCTTGCTCATAAAGCAGGATTATTCCTCTGAGAAAAGCAGGCTATTGTCTAGTCTGAGCTCCAGAGCAGTCACTTGGAGATTTTTCACAGGGGAAGAGTCAGGCTATAAAACAGAGCTCTGAAGTTATCTCCAAGAAACTTATTTAAATAAGTATAGGGAAGTTCAAGTCCCACTCTAGAAAACAATGAAAAATTTGGTGGTAAACAATGAAAAGGAAGCTGGTAGTCCTGTGAAGGCAACAACCTGAACTAGACAGTCTGGTTTCCTAGACAGAACCTGGAAAAAAGACAGCTAAGGAGAATCTTCTTAGAATCAGGATAAACTCCATAGACTGGCCGAAGAAACTGCCCTTGCAAAGGCACCTAAATGTAACTGAATTGGACTGTGGAGTAATTTATAGCACAAATCACTGTTGAAAACAAGAAAACAATCGTCAGACAAGTAACATGGCACCTAATTTTTACTAATCTAATTTTATTGAGGTGTAAAAATGTTACTCCTTTAGTTCTCTGTTACACCTCTCCACTTACTGTAGTGCTGTTTGTTATACATTGATATAGTAGATCCAAACCCAAAAATAAACTGCTATGATTACTAATTTACATTTTGTAGTTGAGAAAAAAAGAATAAATATACATTTATAGGTTTTGTTATATTAACCTTCATTTTAGCATTTTTTATTGTCTTCATATATTTCTGTAGATGAGTTTATTCTATTATTGCTAAAAATGTTACATTTTTATATGATGTAGATCCATACCATTATTTACTTGTTTGATGGAGTTTCTTCCTAAATAAATGAACAGGAAAAAAGACAATAGACATTTCCTATATAGCCACAGTGCTATAGATATTACAAAAAACAATCACAGTAATTTCCTAGTATTATCCAATGGATAATAATATCCAAGTCCTTAAATGAATTCGCATGTTGGCTAAAAAAAATTAGAGTTAAGAAAGAATATAATTATTTAGAATCCTGCAGAGGTCAGAGAGTAAGGATATCTTTTAATGTTGATTTGTCTGAAAGGAACCCATTTTCTACTTATGGCTATTGCCCATCTTATCATATTTTAGCACCATGTCTTTAAAAAGAGATACTTCATGTTATTTTTTTAGTACTATTACTGAAAGATCTCGGAAGAAAGAGAAATAGAATTTTAATGTTTTTTTCTTTGTTCTTAACAGAAAAATTTGGTAATAGGAAGTATGAATAACATTGGTTAGAAAGTTTCTAGACTTTTGTTCTACCCAATATTTAGTATTTCAAGTGTAATTGGTAAAGAAGAGAGCATACTGTGGTTATGATCACATTAAAAAATTTTTTTTAGATTTTTTAGAAATTTTTCAGATAACCTTCATTAAAGCAATGTTTCTACACAGAGATTTGAAACAGAAGGTATACATGAATCACCTAGAGACATTTTTAAAATAGATATGCTCACCACTGCCAGCCCACATCCCTGCAAGTACTGAGGCTGTGGCCATACATATTCTGAAAGTACTGTTCCTCATGTAACTTACCTATCCTTCCAGCCTCCCAGTATGAAAAAGCAGAAGAATCATTGATTTAAACACATCTAGTTTCACCTTTAAAGCCCATAGGATTATGAAGTTACTTTTTCATTAAAAGTTATCTCAAATTAAGATATATTGATCATCATGTTTAGGTGRTAGTTTTATTAAGCATATCAATAAGCATATTAATTACTTGTTTTTACAAATCAAGGGGAAGGGAATTTATTTCTGCTGGGGAATGTCTGGCCATAATTCCACTTATAAAACACYTGAGAGATGTGACCATTTTCTCCCAAGCAGGCATTTCTGTGTGCAAGACACATCATCATTTGTTTAATGTTCCCAATATGTTGTAAAGGAAATTTGTCTCTGTAGTAGACTTTGACAGTCTTTTAAGATTGAAGCAACTTGTGGGCCTTGAACAAACAAGTTCTCTGACTTCTCTGATGGCTCTTCCATATACCAGGAAGCCTGGCCACTTGGGTTCCAATCAAAAATGGGGACATTTGGTGGATTCTTTTGTTTGGTTGTCTTTTTTACTCAAGAGCTCCAATTTAGTAAAATCTTTGCTGGAAGAGGTATAATTACATCTTAAAACAAGATTGTAAAAAAAAAAAAAATATTTCAGAAAGCCTTTCTATGGGAGGCTTAGGTTTGAAAGTACACATTTGTTTTCTTTTGACAGATTTTTGGAGCATATGCAACTCATCCCTTCAAGTTCAGTGACCACTATTATGGCACAGGCGAAACTTTTCTCTACACATTTAGCCCTAATTTCAAGGTACCTGATGGGGGAAATGTTTGATTCCTCAGTAGTGGGAGTGGCAAGGACTGTCCTATGAACTTATGAACTCACTTCAGCCTGGGTCAGCACTTYATGACTGTAGCACACAAACTGCTTAAGGGTCCCTGGCCTTGGGAGTGTGGGAACCAGGGAGGGGATGCAGATTATACCAGCATGTAACTGCAAGGTCCTTCCTACTTTGTTACACTTTGGAGATCTCCTTCTGTATGGGCCAGGTCTGACAATCAGGAGCCTTCTCCATCAAAGGGAGGTGGGTGGCTCCCTTCCACATAATAGTTCTATTTAAGATTCTGTCTTTGCTATTTCTCCCGATTAAAATGTCTGTTCTCTGTTTTGTTTTCTACCCCAAGGTCTTTAAGTGGAGTGGAGAAAACTCATATTTTATCAATGGAGACATAAGTTCTTTAGAACTTGGTGGTGGAGGGTAAGGTTTTTCTTTGTCATTGTTTTACCACTTGACCTCTGAGAGTCTGTTTTGACCCAGTTAACCAAAACCTCAGTGTCAGCAGATTTTTTGCTAGTTCATGTGCTTTAATTAATTAGGATAGTGGACTAACACATGACACTATCCTAATTAATCAAAGATAAAAATCATTTGTTCATGTACCTAGTTGAGAAATGACTACCCCATGTCTTTTAGGAAAGACAGGTCATTTAAACAAAATGAAGGAATGAGGGCCTTTATTTTGCAAGCAATTTAGAGTTTTTACTGTCTGTGGCATAAAGGAAAGAAGAGGCAAGGGAGAACAGAAAATATGCCACGTAAGATCTAAGTGTATTTCCTTTTTTTTTTTTCCTTTAACTTGTTTTCAGGGGAAGATTTGGTTTATGGCTAGATGCTGATTTATACCATGGACGAAGCAACTCATGCAGCACCTTCAATAATGACATTCTTTCCAAAAAGGAAGACTTCATTGTGCAGGACCTAGAAGTGTGGACATTTGAGTGAAATTTGGACTGCCTTAAAATATAACATTAAAAAGACTGGGTTGGATCAGCCCTCCTAAAGCTGGCTGGAAAATGAAGCCCCAGCCCAGGCTGCCTCATCCCACAATGCTTTCTTTCTGCCATCATCTCAGAGCATGGTCACTTTGCAAAAAGATCCTGAAAGGTACGTGTGGAGGGCAGACACTGAAGAAAGAAATTTGAAGTCCAGATTGTTCAAAGACTTTGTTCTTCCACTTCTTTCAAATCCATACAGTGAGGAATTGGAGTGTTTATATGAGTTGAATGCAATTTTTATTTTTGGTAACTGTGAAAAAAAAGATACTGTGGAAATATATCCATGCCTTGTGTATTTATCGGCATAAATTTTCATTGCAAAATGTACAGCTATTGTTTGCCATGGAAAAGGTTAGTCTCATTTAGAAAAATTAAAAGGACACAGCACTTAAAGGGAATATATGATTTTTTTAAAAAACAGTTTTATTTATTATTTCTAGTGTATTGTCTAAAATATGTTGGCAGGTTTTTTTTTCTTTTAATATGTCAAATCTTGAAATAAATAAATGTATACATATTGTGCTATGTTTTGGGAACAAGTCTGTTTGATTTATATAATTTTATATTGATTTTTTTTTTGCCCTGATTGTTTAGGGTGATAGGTCTTAAGCAGTATATATATTTCTAAATTTTTAAAAGCCCATTACCAATGTTTATTGATTTGACTATAGAAATAGTCAGGTTTTTTTGTTTTGTTTTTGTTTGGTTGGTTTTTTTTGTTTGTTTGTTTTTTGTTTTTTGTTTTTTTGGTACCAGGGATTGAACTCAGGGGCACTTAACCACTGAGCCACATCCCCAACCCTTTTTTTTGTTTGTTTTTTATTTCGAGACAGGGTCTTGCCAAGTTGCTTAGGGCCTCGCTAAGTTGCTGAGGTTGGCTTTGAACTGGCTATCCCCATGCCTCAGCCTCATGAGTCACCGGGATTACAGGCATGTGCCACCCTAGGCCAGCTTTCTATTTGATGATTACAAAGGTACATTTTAAATTACCCGAACATATTCATGTAAAGCAGAATATACCATCTCTTGACATTTATAGAAATGGAAACCTTTATGAACCCAGACTTAAAACAAAACTTGCTTCTGAAAAAAAATTATGTTTCTTATAAAACCATATGTGTTGATAACAAAAACTTTATTTTCATAGTGTTCTTTTGCACAATTTCTCCCCCAAACGTTTACATTAATGAGCAGGCCTCTATTTTAAAAGGGAGTGTTTTAATTTCTGCTTTTTTAAAAATCAGATGAAAAAAATGTCAAATTGGACCAATTGTCTTGGGTTTTAGACTCTTATTTGAGAAAAAATGCAAAGAAATGCATTTATACCAAAATTGGAATAAAAAGGAAAACTGTTTTTTAATGTGAACTCATTTTCACATCAAAGAACCTCTTTTATTAAAAATAATAATAAAGCCTTATAAAAAACTTAATATTATTAATTGCTAGACTTTTATGAAAACCAAAGACTACTAATGGAAAAAAATTAAATAATAGCCAAAGCTGAGAAGAGGTATGTCACAAATTATTTCCACAGTGATGTTTGAAAGAAAAAATTTATAACAAGCAGTATTTACATATTTGCATTTTTAAAAAAAAGCAGTTCTTAGAATATTTCTCTTATTTTAGTTCCCCATTTTAGGCTATTTGTAAGAGAACAAACTGTCCAATGGCCTCTTATCAGATCAACAATTATTGTGCTATGTTCTCATTCCATGCARATTTAAAGGAATGCTATAAAATTTTAAATCCATAGCCCAGGCATACTTTTTATCCAGTTTTCATACTGAGAACTCTTGATAAACATATTGGCGGTTTAATCTTAATCTGCTTATTAAAAATAAGTTGGTGTGAGATATCAGGAATGTCTCATGATGATCATGTTTACCATGTATGCCATTTGCAACCATATGCTATTAATAAACAAAATGCTCATTTTGCATATAGTTCACTCTTACCTAGTTTAGTCCATGATACTATACTTGTGAGAGCATATCCAAATGTTGTGTTCTCTATTTAAAACAGTATTGTCCAATCAGAAATGTGTGGCCCTTCATTTATGGATATTGACTATATGTAATGCAGTGCTATCCCAATATTTTCAATAAAGGAATTTATGCATTCAGTGTGATTTTTCTTTCCTGAAGTTTCATTTACCAAGTATTTATTGGGTCAAGTCCTACCTCCAAGATATTGCAAGTACACTTCCAGACCAGTGTAGTAAGGCAAGTCACAAGAATTTTTTGATTTCCCAGTGTATATAAGATTTATGTTTGCAGAATTGTGTAGACTTTTAAGTGTGCAGTAGCAATATGTTTAAAACAATGTACATACTTAATTAAAAGTTCTTTTTTT